TAGCCGGGCATGGTGGCGGGCGCCTGTAATCCCACCTACTCGGGAGGCTAAGGCAGGAGAATCGCTTGAACCTGGGAGGCAGAGGTTGCAGTGAGCCAAGATCATGCCATTGTACTGTAGCCTGGGCAACAAGGACAAGACTCTGTCTAAAGAAAAAGATATAGATATATATCCCTTAAGAAAGTATAAATCAGAATGAGACCAGAAAGAGGCAGGGGAAGTTACTTTTAGCTATTTGATCAGGAAAGCCCAGCTTAACTGTCAGAACTGGGGATTAAGAGGCAGGTAGACCCAGGATGGTGGTTAGAAACTGGGGATGTGGCATGATGTCTATAGTAGAGGCAAAACTAATAAAAGCAAGCACTAGGGAAGCCTAAGTCCATCTCTGTAGCGGGGAGTTCAGATGCTCTCAGGAAAAGGGCATACGCTGGGAAGCTGTGTGAAATAAAGATGGAAGAGGTTAGCATTGAATGGCAAACCAAGAAATTTAGATGTTTTCTCTAAGCGAGTGCTTTCAATGTGGGGATAGGTTTCAGTATCACTTGAAACAACTGAAGGACCAATTGTTAGCGTAGCAGGAGACTGTTGAAGATATTTGAGCAAGGAAGCTCTGATCCATGTTGCACACCAGAAAATCAGCCTGCAAATCACACTGTGTGCACCGGGGCACGGGAGAGACTGGTGACCAGGAAGACAGGTTAGAGCGTGTGTCCAGGAGGGAGGTGATGGGATCTGAACTAGGATAGTATGACCATGAACCCAGAGGGGAGGGGATGGCAGAAATGAGATGCTGTGGATAAAATTGATAGGATATTGAGGTCTAGGGAGAAGTCCAAACCAATAACAAGATTTTGAACCTAGATGGAGGGTGAAAGGAATGGGGAACTAAACGCAGGGCAGAGTCAAAAAGGCTGACCATGAGTTCAGCCAGGTGTCGCCCGCAGCAGGCAGCTCGGTGTGAGGCTGCCACAAGCTGGTGTGGAGCAAGTTGTTGACCACAAGGATTTAGCATCTGGGCCCCTGAAGACAAGTCCACTGCCTGGGGGCAGTCTTTCTTCCCTGCCTGTGGATGCTACTACAGTCCCACTCAGAAATTTAGACATAAATTTGGGCAGTGTCATTCATTTATTTTAAAGATATTAATTCCCTCAAAAGAATTAAAATGCAGTTGACTGAAGGCCTGTCTGTGAGGGCATCAGGCCTAAAACACAGATTGGGCACTGACTGCTGTATTATATAGGGCAAGCTATTTTTAAAGCTTGTGATTGTTACTGTAGCCAGGAAACAGGCAGGAAATGAATGATTTTGCAAAAGATATAGACAGGAGCTAGATGGTATATGTGCATTTGTAGGAAGAGCAGTGCCACGCTGGAGCTGGCCACCCACACAGGCAGTGCCATGCTGGCACTCAGCCAGGCCATAGACATCCTCCGGGCTTCTTTGTGGACTGTTTTATTTATGTCAGCAAAACTGCTTGTCCCTCTTCCCTCCCTAGGACCTCTTTTTCGGGGCCCATAAATAAGTACACACACACACAGAAAAACTATCAGATAGAGACACGGTTCCATTTTTATTGATACTGCTTCCTATGCATTTACTGTAACACCCGTTTGTTGTTTTCTGATTGATGCTTCATAGCTGCATGTATTGATATTTTCATTTCTCCTTTCAACTGGGGACAGGTACTGTGCATCTCAAAGAGACTTCAGCTCTCCTTTCCTCCCAGAAACCTTCAGTGCTTAAAACTGTCAGTAAAATCCCTTAGAGAGTCTGAATGGAAACTTTGGTTTGCAGTTTCAAAAAAAAAAAAATAGTGCCTTTCTGAGATAGTTGCCCAACTCTAAGTAAGAATGGTTGGATCAGGCGCTCCAAACAGGAACTGAGATCCACAGGTGACATGGCCATATGGGAGGGCAGATGCATAAACCCTGCAGAATGAATCTTTCTCCTTTGAGTGTTTTTTTTTTCCCCTCAAAATAATGAATTTTTTATACACGCATATACACACACAGGAGTCATTTTTAGCTTTTTTTTTTTTTTTTGAGATCTTATGGGTAAAAGAAAAGGCAAGGAAACTTGACAATTTTTTTTCCTTTTTTTTTTTTTTGAGGGAATCTCACTCTTGTCACCCAGGCTAGAGTGCAATGACTCAATCTCGGCCCACTGCAACCTCCGCCTCCTGGTTTCAGGTGATTCTCCTGCCTCAGCTTCCTGAGTAGCTAGGATTACAGGTGCCCACCACCACACCCGGCTAAGTTTTGTACTTTTAGTAGAGACAGGGTTTTGCCATGTTGCCCAAGCTGGTCTCAAACTCCTGACCTCAGGTGATCTGCCTGCCTCGGCCTCCCAAAGTGCTGGGATTACAGGCATGAGCCACCACACCCAGGCCATTTTTAGCATTTTCATTAGAACTATAATAAAAGGATTTTCCAGATTACCCCCTTCATAGCTGAATAGCAGAAGGAAAGTGTGAGGGTAAACCCTGAAAATGCAGGTATGGTGGAGGTGTTTCGTGTCTACTTACATTTTTTAATAACTTTTTTATGACAAAGGTAGTACACATAAGGTCTGAAAAGGCTATACATTTGGCAGGGCACGGTGGCTCATGTCTGTAATCCCAGCACTTTGGGAGGCTGGGTAGATCACCTGAGGTCAGGAGTTTGAGATCAGCTTGGGCAACATAGCAAACCCCAACTCTACTAAAAATTAGCTGGGCGTGGTGGTGCATGCCTGTAATCCCAGCTACTCAGGAGGCTGAGGCAGGAGAATCGCTTGAACCCGGGAAGTGGAGGTTGCAGTAAGTCCAGATTGCACCACTGCACTCCAGCCTGGGTGACANAAAAAAAAAAAAAAAAAAGAGAAAAATCAGATAAATTAAAAATCAGGTCATTGTTTTCTAGCTGTCTGAGGATAAAATTGAATTCAGCAAACATTTTGTAACAAGAGACATAATTCCTCTTGTAGTCTAGATGAGAAAATAAATGTATAAACTAACAATTTTAAGTAAAACCATAAATTGAGGGGTACTGCCGGGTGTTTTGAGTGACTCAGTAAAAATATTAAGGAAAAAAAAAAACCTGCTTGAAGAGAAACACTGAACAGCCAGCCGACAGAATGAGAGAACATTTTTTCAATCTAACAAAGGGCTAATATCCAGAGTCTATAAAGAACTTAAACAAATTTACAAGAAAAAAGCAAACAACCCCATTAAAAAGTGGGCAGAGGACACAAAGAGACACTTATGAAAAGAAGACACTATGTGGCAACAAACATGAAAAAAAAGCTTAACATCACTGATCATTAGAGAAATGCAAGTCAAAACCACAATGAGATAACTATCTCACACCAGTCAGAATGGCGATTATTACAAAGTCAAGAACAATAGATACTGGCCTGGTTACAGAGAGAAAGGAACACTTTTACACTGTTGGTGGGAGTGTAAATTAGTTCAGTCATTGTGGAAGACAGTGTGGCAATTCCTCAAAGATCTAGAAGCAGAAATCCCATTTGACCCAGCAGTTCCATTACTGGGTATATACCCAAAGGAATATAAATCATTCTACTATAAAGACACATGCTCGAGTCTGTCCGTTGCAGCACTACTCACAAGAGCAAAAACATGGAATCAATTCAAATGCTCATCAATGACGACTGGGTAAAGAAAATGTTGTACACATACGCCATGGAATACTATGCAGCCATAGAAAGGAATGAGATCATGTCTTTTGCAGGGACATGGATGGAGCTGGAAGCCATCAGTAAACTAATGCAGGAACAGAAAACCAAACACCACATGTTCACACATATAAGTGGGAGCTGAATGGACACATGGAGAGGAACAACACAAACTGGGGCCTGTTTGGGTGGGCGGGGGAAGGAGAGCATCAGGAAGAATAGCTAATGTCTGCGGGGCTTAATTACCTAGGTGATGGGTTGATCTGTGCAGCAAACCACCATGGCACACATTTACGTATGTAACAAACCTGCACATCCTGCAGATATACCCTGGAAGTTAAAAGTGGAAGGAGGAAGGAAAAAAAGAACCTGCTTGTATGGCTTATCTTATAAGAAATGTCTGGTAAAATTTTGATGGTGGCTGTAAGTACAAGGATTCTCAGTAGATAATGACTTAATGATCTTCTTTTCTCTGTTGGTTTATTCATTTCTAAACCATTCTTGGCTAGTTTTAGAAAATTATATTAGTAGACAGTTAAGGAGCTTAGAAGTATGAATATAAGTTCTCAAATAGCCGTTCTTTCTTACAGGGAAACTATTAAGTTTAGTCAAAAAGGAAAGTTTATCTGGGGAAGGACCAAGGAAAGAGTAAGAGTTGCTGGCCGAGTTTCAGAGTTTTGCTTTCTGCTGCCATGGGGAAGGTTGGCCAGTCTGGGAAGGAAGCATTTGCCATTCTTCCTCTTAAATGACCGCTTATCACTTTAAAACTCTGTAATGCGTTAGCCACCTTACCCAAGTGAGGGTTAGAGCCCAGAACGGATGTTATGGAATAACCCTCCCCTCCCTGCAGCAAACAAAGATCTGAGTCACCCAAGTCTCCTTCTCCAAATAAAGGGCCTCGCAGTGCCTTCAGATTGGCTGCCATAAGAGGAAAGTTTCCTGTGTGTCTGGCAAAGGGAAACCCCATGCCCCCTCTCACATACATGAGCTTCTCCTGCTTCCAAAGGAAACAATAGCTCTACCCAGTGTTTTCCAGGTGAAAGTGCTGCTTAGAACTGAGTGTCTTATGACTGGCTGTTCCTGAGCAGCTATTCATAGGAGAAAATGGATTGATTTCCACGGGGGAATAGTTAAGGTAATGAGGTAAATAATTACCTCCTCACAGGGGCTTTTACCAGCCAGAACTTGCAACCACAACCCCACCCCCTTTCCTGTTCTGCCTTCCATTAGGCGGTTTGCATGGCAACTGCATGGGAAGGGCAAGTGCTTAGGAGGGGCTGTGCTGCGCTCACCCCTGTGGGATAGGAACCATTGATAACGTGTGTGTTGCTGGAGGAGAGAGAATTCAGTGCACCGGGGCTTATTAGCCTCTGCTGGAATTTTGGGCCAGTGAGCCATTTGTTATTCTACAATGAAAGGCTTTGGCAGTCTGCCATTTGAATTTTTTTTCAGTCCTTTTTGTGGTATCAGTCTGTCTATATAGAATTTTTACTTTGCATTCCTCAGGCACATAGAACCAATTAAAGACTAAATCAAATGGGCAGGCACTTAAATTATGAGCGTAAAAGTATTTCTAAAACCTTCCAGTATGCCTATAGTTGAAAAACAGAAGAATGTTGGTGACTACCCCTTTTTTTTTTTTAGCAATGAGCCATGTAGTTAAAAAAAAAAATCTCATCTTTCCTTTCTTCATTTCCCTTATTTAAAAAAAAAAATAACTGGTAGGCCTCAAACTAATATACCCCTGTTCTTCTGGAAACCACTAAAAAAGTTGTTTATTGTTGTAATGATGACTCAGAGAAACCTGGGCAGCTGTGCCAGTTCGGGTCATAATGGGCTTCTGTCTCTGAGTTCTGCAGTTGACTTGCCTTCACTTCTAATCTGTGTGTTGTCATTCATAATAAACGTGCATTTTAAAATATTTTACTTAATTTCTAGTTTGCCACAAGTCTTGACATGTTTTCCTCTCTGGATTTTTCTGTCTCAGTGATGCAGAAACTGAGTTTCCTCTCTCCTGGCGTGTAGGTAAACGGCTGTCTGCTTGACCCTGTGCCTCCTGTCCTAGTACGGAAGGGATGCCAGTCACTGCCCAGCAACATGATGGAGACCTCCATTGATGAAGGGCTGGAGACAGAAGGAGAGGCCGAGGAAGACCCCACTCATGCCTTCGAGGCCTTTCAGTCCACACGCAGTGGGCAGAGACGGCATACTCTGTCAGAAGTGACCAATCAACTGGTCGTGGTGCCTGGGGCAGGTACAGTAGAGAGGCGACACCAGGTTGAGTCTTCATGGTGTCATCTCATACTCCAATCACCAACAAGTGGTCATGACGCCAGCCAACTCCTAGAATTGAGCCGATAGTTTATTCCTTTATGGAGCAGATTCAGCAGGCCCAGCCTGGCAGCAGCTATCAAAGGAGATTGAAATGTCTGAGTTGGCTCCCGTAGCCCCCAGGATTTGTCTGGGTGCTGTATGATTCATCAGGGACTCTGCTCTTTTGGAGTGGCAGAGATCTTACAGATGCCACTTCTGGAGTATTTTCCTCACTAAACTTGAAGATGACTAAGTTGGCCAGTAAAAAGGTTCTGGAAAGATGTTTTGATTGGAGATTAAGGACATGGTAATTGTCAAGACTCAAGCTGGTTATGCTTTGTACCCTATGTTCCAAGAAGATATTATTGCAGTTGGTTTTATCTGTTCTGTTTTCTCTTAAAGGGAAAATTTTCTCCATGAACGACAGCCCCTCCCTTGACAGTGTGGACTCTGAGTATGATATGGGGTCTGTTCAGAGGGACCTGAACTTCCTGGAGGATAACCCTTCCCTTAAGGACATCATGTTAGCCAATCAGCCCTCACCCCGCATGACATCTCCCTTCATAAGCCTGAGACCTACCAACCCAGCCATGCAGGCTCTGAGCTCCCAGAAACGGGAGGTCCACAACAGGTCTCCAGTGAGCTTCAGAGAGGGCCGCAGAGCATCGGATACCTCCCTCACCCAAGGTGAGCACTTCCTCCTCTGCGTTTTGAAACTTGTGTCGGAGGGGGGTTTCTTGCCATCTTGGTGTGATCACCTATGATCACTGAAAGGCCTTGTATTTTATTTAAACTGTTTGATCTTTGTACTTTCTTTCAGGAATTGTAGCATTTAGACAACATCTTCAGAATCTGGCTAGAACCAAAGGAATTCTAGAGTTGAACAAAGTGCAGCTGTTGTATGAACAAATAGGACCAGAGGCAGACCCTAACCTGGCACCAGCAGCTCCTCAGCTCCAGGACCTTGCTAGCAGCTGCCCTCAGGTGGGTACCTTGGGCCCTTTCCTTGATGGCTCTGTGAGGATGACTTTGTCCTGAAGATGGTCACTTTCACTTAGAGGATTTCCTCCAGTCCTGGAGCAAACAGGTTCTTTGGGAAAACCCACAGCTCCTTTGGTCAGTGGACAGGTTCAACCTATCCTCGCTGCTCCCAAGTGTTCGATACCACATGGAGGCCTGGATACTCTCAAGCTGTTTTTGGCTCACAGGGCAGAGTATAGATGAGTAACCTCTTACAGTCGCCCTTGAACTCCCCTGTCCCCGCCACACATGCACAAATGAATAATAATGAATTGCACCCAAATGAGAAGCTTCTCACCACTACTTTTGATGTGGTATTACTTTAGTAAATATTACAAGTGGATTATTCAGACTAAAAATACAATACTGCTACTTATCTGGTTTTATTTTGAGCCTATTTTCAGTGCATCCAAGAGGATTATAGTTCAAGGCCCACATGAAGGCAATGGCCTCCTGGCGACACCAAGAGCCTTTGCTCTAATACTGACTAGGTAATTGTTAACTAGAGGTAATACATGCATGAATGTTCCGCAGAGTAACAAGCCCTTAGCCTGCTGGCTCTGTAAAAGCTTTGAGTATTATGTCTTAGGGAGTTGGGATTCCTCTTGGACATTTGCAAAGGTGCTTCAGCTAAGAACTGAGACGTTTTTCCCATGGGGAATTGAAAACTGTTTCCACCCCCTTGCTCCTCAGGAGGAAGTTTCTCAGCAGCAGGAAAGCGTCTCCACTCTCCCTGCCAGCGTGCATACTCAGCTGTCCCCACGGCAGAGCCTGGAGACCCAGTACCTGCAGCACAGACTCCAGGTGGGGTCCTTCTTCTTGCAAGTCCACCTCACTCTGCTCATCCAGAATCTGTCCTTCTGCAAAACAGAAACCTGTTTTGCCTGGCATTTATTTAGGGTAGCTGCTTGATTCCTTATAGGCAAGTAGGTTTGACTCTGGACTTGTAGTTTCTGGAAACATGCAGATTCAGCCTTATGCTCTGTGTTGGTAGTGGAAAAGGCAGAAAGGCTTTGTCCTCAGGCCCCTCGAAGGGATATGCCACTGAGGGGTAGGAACGGGAAACCTGGCTTCTTTGTCTCTAATTATATTCCACTTAATGAGTAATAAATAAAATGAAAATCTTACATCTGCAAATTTTCTACATGGGCTTTCTATGTTGGTGCATAAAAATCTTAAAAAGTGATAAAGCCTAGATCTTGTAAAGAATGAATTATTTATTCAGTGGGTACTGGGGCTTTCGAGATCTAACTCCACCTTCCTCATTGCTTTTTAATGTCCATGAGTCTCTTAGTCCTAGTGGACTTTTGGAAATGGAGTGGAAACTGAAGTAGGTGAGATCTGAGATGGCCCAGGCCTGCTGGCCCAATGCTCTTTCGGGTCTCAGAGCAAATGTCAGTCCCTTCCCCCATGTGGATTTTGTAGAATACAGTTGGATTCATCCTGCAGACAGAAGCACATCTGATGACAGCATCCTAGGTGACAGCACATGTCACACTCGTGTTGTTTTTCTCCTCTTCCAGAAGCCCGGCCTCCTGTCAAAGGCACAGAACACCTGTCAGCTTTATTGCAAAGAACCACCACGGAGCCTTGAGCAGCAGCTGCAGGAACACAGGTGAGAAGGGGGCTTTGGCCAAAGAATTTGCTTCCTTTTCTGGAAGCCTTGAGAATGCTGAACGTGTTGTCCTTTCCCTCTCACATTCGCCACTACTAAGAAAATAGGTTTTCCGCATCTGCCACGGGCCCTGTGAGCATGATTACTCAGCGGATATCTTAGCATCCAAGGAGGACTGCCGTCAGGCAGTGGCAGCCCTAGGGTGTACTTTGTTTTCCTTTTCTTCTGGCATTTCCTCTTTGGGGTATGACTAGCCCCAAGCTTTCACAATCAGTGGCCCAAAGCCACGGAGGTGGGGTAGGTGGCAGAGAAGCCTTGTGTCCTCCTTACTGTCATGTGTGCCCATGGGCCTCGCTAGTAGAAGGAGCTTGGCCAAGGTAGAGCTACCCTAATCAATCCATCAACTGCAGACACTGTGTGATTCTCTCCCCTTCCAGCCTCTCCAGAAGGGAAACCACCCTTTCATTGTATAAAGAGAAAAATTCGGAGTTGAGAAAATGCATTTCTGCTCACATTGGCACGGAAGGAGCATCAGAGCTGGGGGACAGAAAATGAGATTAGGTTTAAGGAAACTCAACACAATGGGTTCCCATTCCCAGTTGTTTTTGCTGACATGAGAAAGAGAGACCTAAGTAGAGGACTGAAGCTAGTGACTGGTATTGCATTTGCATTAAAATTGCCATCACTTGAGAAGACTTAAAATTCTTTCCTTTGATATTACCAATTTAGGCTCCAGCAGAAGCGACTCTTTCTCCAGAAGCAGTCTCAACTGCAGGCATATTTTAATCAGATGCAGATAGCAGAGAGCTCCTACCCACAGCCAAGTCAGCAGCTGCCCCTTTCCCGCCAGGAGACTCCACCGCCTTCTCAGCAGGCCCCGCCGTTCACCCTGAGCCCGGTCCTGGAGCCTTCCTCTGAGCAGATGCAATACAGCCCTTTCCTCAGCCAGTACCAGGAGATGCAGCTTCAGCCCCTGCCCTCCACTTCAGGTCCCCGGGCTGCTCCTCCGCTGCCCACACAGCTACAGCAGCAGCAGCCACCACCGCCACCACCACCGCCACCACCACGACAGCCAGGAGCTGCCCCAGCCCCCTTACAATTCTCCTATCAGACTTGCGAGCTGCCAAGCGCTGCTTCCCCTGCTCCAGACTATCCCACTTCCTGTCAGTATCCTGTGGATGGAGCCCAGCAGAGCGACCTCACGGGGCCAGACTGTCCCAGAAGCCCAGGACTGCAGGAGGCCCCCTCCAGCTATGACCCACTAGCCCTCTCTGAGCTACCTGGACTCTTTGATTGTGAAATGCTAGACGCTGTGGATCCACAACACAACGGGTATGTCCTGGTGAATTAGTCTCAGCACAGGAAGTGAGGTGGGTCAGGCAACGGAAGAGTGTATGTTTCTATTTTTATTCCAGCCTTTTCAATTTAAAGCTTATTTTCTTGCCCTCTCCCTAATGGGAGAAATCAAGTCACCCAATGGAATCAGAGGGCCTGTTGGGGTGGATGTTGCTTCCTCCTGGTTCTGCCCCACCACAAAGTTTTCTGTGGCAAGTGCTGGAACATAGTTGTAGGCTGAGGCTCATGCCTTAATGTCAAGTGGAGCAAGCTCTCAAGGGAGGCACTGACAAATGTGTTCCTAAGAAGACATTCAGACCCAGGTTTTATGCCGGATTACATCAGTTTATTATCAAGGGCAACCTTGGTGAAAGCAGAAAAGGTGTGTGCTATGGCATATATATGGGGGAAAAAAGGCAATATATTTTTTCACTGAAGGTGAGCAACAACATATTGCTACAAGGCAAATCAAGAAGACATCAGGAGATCGGGTGCACAGGGAATAAAGGAAAGCTGTGCTTTGTCATTGAATCCTAAGTTCTTACCTGCTGATGCAAGTTATCACCCAAGGCCATCACAAAGCAGTGGATCGGGGCCACTAAATAACAGCTGGTACCCCTGAGACCACCTTCATGTCCATTCAGGAGCAGGTGACACACCTCTTCAGAAGGTGCCCTGGGTTGCCGACTGTCAGAATGTACTCAGGACTCCAAAGGTGTCACACGTAGAACTGACAGGAGACCTGCCACAGTGGAGGCAGGGGGCAAGAAACTCAAGAAAGCATCAAGAGCACCAGCCCTGGGCCAGGGAAGGCAGGCTCTTCCTGCAGTCTCTCTTGGACACTGCTGGCTTGGGGGCAGTCGGTCTCCAGGGTACCTGTTGTCTCTTTTCCAATGTAATAACTACTTTGACCTTACACTATATGTTGCTAGTAGTTTATTGAGCTTTGTATATTTGGACAGTTCCATATAGGGCTTAGAGATTTTAAGGACACGAAAAATGAACTTTTACGTCCCATGTGAAGTGGTAGTGCTGTGCCTTTCCCCCAGATCATGCTTTAATTCTTTCTTTTCTGTAGAAACCAACAGTTTCCATTTATGTCAATGCTAAATCCAAAGTCACTTCAGAGTTTGTTTTCCACCATGTGGGAATCAGCATTCTTAATTTCCTTAAAGTTTTGACTTGTAATGAAATGTTCAAGTATTACAGCAATATTCAAAGAACCACAGATGTGTTAACCGTTTAAGCAGATCATCTGCCAAACTCGTTATATTACTAATAAAACTTAACCAGTGCTTACAATTCAGTCATCAAAGTAAGTGAAAAATAGATGCTATAGCTAGCTAACTGTATCCCTAGAAGTGATGAGTAATTTGTCATTTGGACAGTTAACATCCAGGTGTTACAAATTCAGTGTTAATTCAAAGATGATAGTTTCTGCCCTTCAGAATGGCTCGTTCCATCAGCAGATGAATGTGTTAAGCACAAAGCATCTTCTTTAAAGCACAGAGTCTAACTGATGCTGCATCTAGAAAACACCTTTAAGTTGCCTTTCCTCTTTGTAGTTAGTGTCCAGGCAGGTGAGGAAGTATGGAAAGCCTAAGGGGTTCCATTCTGGCCATGCGAACCCAGCCCCTACCGACGTTAGTAACCTGAGCAGTCCCTGTTGCTGGCCAGAGACTGCCTGGTCGCCAGCCCTCACCATGGGTGCCAGGACGCTTTGCAGAGGCACTGTGCTCGCAGTTGGACTCTGGATGTCAGTGGGAAAGGGCAGTATGGGGACTGTCATTTTTGTGATTTAATCATACACAGTGAAAATCCAGGAAGAATGACTTAAGCTCCTTCTGGGAGTTGTTTATTCCTACTCATGCTTAAGATTGATGATTTCGTGAAATAAAGAACATGATTTCATTTAAGAGATCATTTCATTAAGATCTCTAATCTGTTTTGAGTCTTTGCAAAATAGCCAGTTATAAAATGGGGCTTGATTTGTTTAGACTGAAGGAAGACATTTTCCCAAGATATACTACAGAAGTGCTGCTGCAATATTTGCGATATTAAAATGCCTTCCAGATTGAAAGTGAAGGCCGCTCATTTCAGAACTGCAGGAATGGTATAGTTACAGCGTGATATAAACTCCTGCCCCCCAACAATGCCATGAGTTGCTTAGTCCAGGAGACCTGGGAGCTAAGGCAGGATGGTTAGGCTGACAGATGAGGGACTGCAGAGAGGCTATTTGAAGGTTAGGGACCCAGAGAGAAATGGAGAGACACCCTGCAGTAGCCAGGCCCATCAGGAACCGTCAGGCACAGCAGTGGTGTGAACACCGGCCTGATGCACAGCATGATCCCTCCTGCTGGAACCTGTGTTTTAAGCGCCTATTTGCTTATCTCATTTATTTCAAGCAGAAATCAATAAATTTCATAACCCTCTGTATTGACTGCAATGTAAGCTGCTGAGGAGACTGGTTCTGTTGGTCAGTCAGGTGTTTGCTCAGCCCTGTTTGATCACGTCTGCTGCCCTGTCCCCAACTTGTGACCCATGGAAGCTTCCAAGCAGTTTTCTCTTCATCAATACTAATATAACACTAAGAAGTCTTAGTACCACTCTTTCTGAGGGGCTACTCTGAAGCACTGACTTGCTTTCCAGTCTGTTTCACAGGAGCAGTGTGTACACTACTGTATCATCATCATTAGCTTCATCATCCTGTAAACCAGGCTCCTCTGAAGAGACTCTGGTGAGATGAACGTGAGGTAAAAATTTCATTCGGCAAAAAGTGCAATATGTGTGGTACTTTATTTTTTATGTTGTTTTAATCCAGGAGTATTAGTCTCTGCTCTGGGAGAAATGCACTAGCTCTGCAATTTCCAGCTGGGCAAGTGTGTCTCCTCTAGTATTTCCATGCAACTGATATGCTGGCCCCTGTAAGGCAAATAGCACGTTAGCCCGACAGGAAGAGGTGGTCCACTTTCGCATTCCCAGTGACACCAACCATCCCCAGCTGCCCCCTCGCCACCTCTGCCTGCACTGCCCTCTGCCACCATGGGAACAGGAGGAGGCTGATGGTCTACACCAACGACCTCCAGAATCCATGGGTGGGAGGGCACCAGGGCCCACCAGAGGAGTGGAGCTGGGGCTCAGGGACTGTTCGTGCAGATCTGAGCAAACCCCTTCTCTTCTCCATCCACCTTTGCCTCCTAGGAAAGAAAAAGTCAGTGGCCCTTTCTCCCTCAGAAATCAAGAACTCCTAAGTGTTTAAACCTGTCCTGTAGTCAGTGAATGGGACAGGAGCCCAGGACTGAAGCCAGCCCTCACCTCTCGTGCCCCTTCCTGACTCTGACCCTGGAGTAATGAGGGGCTCTGTGTGTTGATGGGGAGCAAGGGGGAACCCTCTGTAGGAATATCAGCCTCTCCCCTGCCCCCTACCCTCTCCCATTGATCGAAGGCCCCAGCGGAAGAGACTCCTCCTGAGACCGATTCCCCAACCTCCACCCACACACCAAGTGTCATCAGTCCTAAAGGCAGGGAAACGCTCACAGAATTCTGCCCATGGGTTAGACGTGGGGAGAAGGATATTCCCAGCTCAGGAGTGATTAGGTGATCAACCAGAAACTAAGGCAAGGTGACAAGCAGCAGCCTGGAGTCACAGTTGCTCAGGGTCCCAGGCATGTGGGCACCAGAGCAGCCTCTGGAGCCACGCCGGCAGTTCAGGATGCAAGGTCAGAGTGAGTGAGCAGTGCTCCTTCTGTGGGTCCTCCAGCCTCTAGTCAAGCCCCAGGTTCATAAATGCGTTTGGATTACATTTTAAAACCTGTACCAATAGTCACACTTAAGCTCCCTATTGGCTTAAAGAAAATTCATACTCCAGATAACTTTTTCCCATTCAACCTCCTGTAGAGACAATACGCAGTATCATTTCACAGTATTGGTCCCCATGAACAGTGGCTGACCCCAGCACTGAGTGACTTTTGCTGCACTCGAACCCCTAAACAGCTGTCTCTACTGCCTCCTCAGAAGCCACCCAAGCCGCTCAGTCTCTTGGTGCCTAGACATCAAAGGTGAAAACTGGAGAACAGGGAGGGTCATAAGTTGGAGTCATTGTACAGGTAGGGATCTTTGATCATTTTGTTGCTTCTGGGTTTTTGTTTTTGTTTTTTATCGAGATGGAGTGTCATTTTGTTGCCCAGGCTGGAGTGCAGTGGTGCAATCTTGGCTCACTGCAACCTCCGCCTCCTGGCTTCAAGCGATTCTCCTGCCTCAGCCTCTCGAGTAGCTGGGACTACAGGTGTGTGCCACTGCATCCAGCTAGATTATGTATTTTTAGTAGAGACGGTTTCACCATGTTGGCCAGGCTGGTCTTGAACTGCCGACCTCAGGTGATCCACCCCCCTTGGCCTCCCAAAGTGTTGGGATTACAGGTGTAAGCCACCACGCCCAACCTGGAGTTTTTTTTTATAAAACTTATCTTCAGAGCGATGTATGAAAGACAAGAGCAGTATCCTCTGCCTGTTTCTAAACTAGACAAAGAGATTTTCGTAAAGTTTCTGTCTCCCTCCTGACAGGTTCCACAGTGTGGTCTGAAGCACCTGTGATGTCAGAGTTCTTGTCTGGTTCTTGGTGGCGGATGCACAAAGACTGGAGCCTTTCACCTCCCAGTAGCCTGTCACATAGTTATTTTCCCATTTTTTTTCCCCCAATTAAGGTAACCTGGCTGATTCTCAAAGACTTTAAAGCTGGTTGGGGGTGGTGGCTCAGGCCTATAATCTCAGCAATTTGGGAGGCCAAGGTAGATGGATCACAAGGTCAGGAGATCAAGACCATCCTAGCTAATATAGTGAAGCCCCATCTCTACTTAAAAAAAAAATACAAAAAAAAAGAAAGAAAAAATTAGCCAGGTGTGGCAGTGCACACCTGTAGTCCCAGCTACTCAGGAGGCTGAAGCAGGAGAATTGCTTGAATCTGGGAAGTGGAGGTTGCAGTGAGCTGAGATCGCACCACTGCACTCCAGCCTGGCGAGAGAGGGAGAATCTGTCTCAAAAAAAAAAAAAAAGACTTAACAGCCATCCTAGGTGCACCCCACAAATCCGGGCAGGTTTCAACACATCAGCAGACTCGGGCACAGACTGGGGCACAGATAGAGAACCAGGCGGCAACACTGCCTGCAGACTCACCCAGGGAGAGCTTTGATGGGTTCTGCCGGATACTCCACTTGCCCACCCACAAGGGAGCAATAGCATGTATTTGTACATTAGTTTTACCAAACACCTTCATAAGCAATCTCTTCTAATCCTCACAATAATGCTATACAATGAGTTGGGGGAGACACTGTCCTTATTTTTCACAGCTGAAGAAACCAAAGCTCTTGGAAGTTTGTGACTTCTCTGAGGTCACAGCTGGTGAGTGGAGGAGCTGGGACAAGCGCTTGGCTTGACTGGCTTCTGGGTTTGGTGCTCTGCAAGAAGCCCTCTCTTTCCTCAGTAGCATCTGACGCTTTTCACAAGCAAACAGCTATATAAACAAAGCCCCCATTTTGGCCAAGCACAGGGCGGAAGTGACATTGTTCCTACAACCTTATTCTCAACAGCCACCTGGCTTTGGGAGAGAGGCCGCCTTCAAGTGACAGTGCAGCTGTCCAGGTGGCCATGCAATGAACCAGGCTGAGAGAGACAAAGTCCCCACAGACCCACCTGCCCTTCAGCATCCAGTTAACTGCAGAAGTTTAGGCTCACCTCAAAGATGTCTACTTTTCCTGTTACAATATAGCAGTTTCCTACAGAACACGCCCCTCCTCGATTGCCAAGGAGCTGCATTGCATGGCATTGGGCCACCACTGCCGGCCAGCAGATTCCACCCCAGGAATGGTCATGAACTCAGCCTTTGTCTCAAGGAGGGGTGTAACATTTCCTTACAGTCAAGCCCCATCAAACAGAAGTGCTTATTAGATACTTTTAGGATTAAAAAAGTAATAGCAGACTTTGACTTAATACTGTCCTTTCAGAGGCAAAGGGGGTGGGTGGGGGGAGTTGTTTTAAAAATAGAAGTTCAAAACAACATCCTGGAAACATATGACCCCAGACGGAATAATGTCACATTCCCCCGTGCAGATAACTGGGCTGCTCCTGGCTCTCTGGTGCCTGTCTGCTGAAGATTTGCTCAGTCAAGGAAATTCAAGTGGTGAGACCGCTCCACCATGGGTGGTAAAAGAAACCTGCCTTCACCAAAATCTCTGAAGGGGAAAGAAGCAGAAAGGTTTGCTTCACTTTGGGGACTGCAGTTTGAGAAATAAAAGGGGTACAGAGATATTTGCACTTTGTAGAAAGGGCAAGATTATTTGCTTATATCTGAAGGGAGGAGGGTGGTTTTGCTGGATGTTTGGTCTGAAAGAGTTACTTTTGATAAAGTTAATCTAATTGTAGTTATTTTTTCTGTGTGCTTTTTTTTTAATTAAGAAAAAAAATGGTGAGTTCAATAGCTTTGGTATTTTGAGTGCAAATCATAATAGCTCCAATGTGAATACAAATCAAAAGTGTAACCTGTTCAATGTTAGAAAATTGCCTAAAATGCAGTGTAACAAATAATCTTTGTACCAAATGGTAATTTAAATGGGGTAATTTTCTGCAAGGAAAATGTACTGTTTTTATGTTTCCAACCCTCTTGAATTAAAATAAAAACAACTTGTTTTCTAAGAGCCTGGGTGGTGTGAATGTCAGGCTAACACGATAGGGCTTCCGCCTCATCGGGCGTTGGGTGGAATTTTTAGAGTATGGAAGAGGGCCGTGTTCTCTGAGCTCTGGTGCTCATTTCAGGCTGCAGAAAAGGACAGCGGATAATATGTTCTCATTGACGTCAGCAGGGTAAATAATACCTTGCTCCAAATCGCCTGAGTACACGTTAGCCGCTGCAGATCGCTGACGGAAGCACTGCCAACCGCAGCCTGCACAAGGACAGGGCCCCACTGGGCACTGCTTAATTACTGCTCCTTGATTCTCAGAGTCCCAGGGCAAAGCCCATTGGCCCAGGTAGTCTGGGCAAGGGCCTCGTGCTGCAGTAGGAGGAAGGGCGGCAGATGCTGCACAGGGCTCTCTTGTGGGGCTCTCCGAGGACAGGCAGCTGCAGAGCAGGGGATGGAAATGGGAAGGGGTACTGCGAGCTGCCAGGCAAAAGACTCTGCTACTTAGTCACGATGTCACATCTTCTCTGAGGTCTGCCAAAGGCCTCGACACCACACGCCACACACACACACACACACACTGCACGCCATACACACACACACACACACACACTGCACGCCACACACACACACACACTCTCTCTCTCTCTCTCTCTCTCTCTCTCTCTCTGCATGCCCTCACAGAGGCAAGCACCCTTTTGAGGCCCAGCTCCGTGCCCTCAGGGTGCTGGAGACACCATAAGCCATGCTGTTCTCCTGTGTCCTGGACCTGTTTCAGTGCCAGGCCCAGAGTGAAAGGCCACTGTTATATCCAGCTTGCTGGCAGCAGGGTCTTGACTGAAATTTGGTTTCACTAACACCATTTCAACTGAGCCCATGCTATAGAACCAAGACAGTGCCCACCCTGCGGGGTGGCGGTGGGAGGGTGCAGTCGGCAGGGCCCACACTGCCAGAGGCTGGAAGGAGCAGAGCCTCACCGACTTCCACTACTGCCCGGCTCCACTGACAGTTGCTCAGTCCTGCCTTAAACTGGCGGTTACCCCTTGGCTACCCAAAATTTCAGTATTGCTGAGTTTCATTTCTTTTTTAAGGAAAGCACTAAATTT